TGCCTTAAGTCATCCTTACTTTCAGCAAGCAAAGTTGTATCGTCTGCATATCTCAGGTTGTTAATGATTCTTCCTCCAATCCTGATACCACGTTTTTGGGTCCTGTACACTGTACACAATAACTAGGCACAGAAAATTGATCACCTCTCCTTGGTGTCTTTGTCCTGGAGAAATGATATTTCCAATGTGTCATCCAGAAGACACTCTGTTCATCATCAGGCTGAATTGGAACATATACTCTGTGTTAGTTTCCTCATGCTGCGGTAACAAATTACAAAGTTAGTGACTTGAAACAACACAAATATACTGTCTGATAGTTCTGAAGGTAAGATGTCTGAAATCCATTTCACTGGGCTGAATTCAAAACTGTGGCGTCCTTTGGCTATTGTGAACAGTGCTGCGATGAAAGCTGGTGTACAGGATTCTGTCTGTGTTCCTGCTTCCATCAGTTCTTTTGGGTACATACCTAGGATTGGATGATGAGTCATATGGGGAGTCAATGTTAAACTTTCTGAGGAGTTGCCAGGCTTTCCCAGAGCACCTGTATTATTTCACAGTTCCACCAACAATGAATGAAAGTTCTATTTTTTCCACATCTTCACCCACAACTGTTATTTCCTTTTTTTTTTTTTTTAAAATCATAGCTCTCCTAGTGGGGTTCTGTCTGACAACAATCTGGCGGTGGGGTGCGTAGCTGTTCCTTAATGTGGTGTTAATTTCCATCTCCCTAATGGTTAGTGTTGTTGAGTATCTTTTCCTACTTGTTAGCCATTTGCATATCCTTTTTAGTAAAATATGTATTGCCTTTTTTTTTTTTCTTGTTGAATTCTGTATTGATCTTAAATTCTGTATTTATCATTTTCTTGGCTATCTATCTATTAGGTTGAATCCTATGAAGTCATCATTATTTGCTCATTTTTGCCTTACAAAGCTGGAGTTTTCATGAGATTCAATCACATGTTTTTATCACCCATATTTATACCTACATAGTTTCCTAAATGTGTCTTCTTTTTACCAAAAGAACTAGATGGTGCCTGGTTAACGTGACTGATCACTCTGATCAGGATCACAATGAAAGGACCTTGACAGACAGAGAGAGAGAGACAGAGAGAGAGAAGAGAGAATGGATAACAAAATTCAAAATTGTAAAAACCAAAAATCAAACCAAAAACAGTTTTGTTGTTCTGATGGAGGCTGATGGAACTGCCAAAACTATGGCCCTTAGACACCCTCCACTCCAGGAACTGAAACCATCCCTGGGGATCAAGTTTCAGCCATACAATAGACAGCATTGTAAAGTGAATAATACCAGAAAGGAAGGGAGTCCTCAGTACAATCAACTGTATGAGACCAATCGAATAACATTTGGCCAAAAACAAAGCTCAGAATGCAGGAGAGTGCAGGAAGGAAGGACAGATGGAAACGGGGAACTAGGGAGGAAGTGAGAAGAGTGTTGTTACATTGATGGGATTGCAACCAATGTTGAGAAACAAAATGTGCATAAATTGCTAAATGCAAAACTACTTTGCTTTGTAAACTTTCACCCAATCTATGATAAGAAGTGGGAAAAAAAAGAAAGATGTCTCTTTTTGAGCTTGTCAGATTTTTAGTATTCATGCATGAATTTGTGTCTTGATTGCTTTTCTCATCAGTATGCTTTCCAGATTAATTCCTATTGTTGGGTGTAGCACTGATTATTTATTTTCAATGCTATACAGTTTCAGGTTGTTACTTTTTGTTTGATATGGATGGAATTTTGATATCTATTGTTCTGCTTTTATGAATAGAGCTGTTACAATATTCTCATGCATGTCTCCTGATGGGAATTACTCAGAGTTTCTTGCTAATGTGGCATTATTTTGTATAAGGGAGTGCCTATTCTCCTCTTGGTAGTTCTGGAGAGATTTCCTAAGTGACGGAACCAACTTACACATGCATTAGAATGCTATTCCACCCACCACTAATACATTTTAACTGTTATTAAAACCTAAGTTGGTGTAAAATATTCTTCATTAGTTTACATGTCCCTTACTATGATGGTCAATCTTTTTACGTATCAAACAAAACCAAACTCACTGCAGTCGATTCCATTCTGAGTCATAGAGACCCTCCTTGGCTTTCTGAGTCAGTATGTCTACAGAAGTAGATTGCCCAATTTTCCTTCTGAGGAGTGCCTGGTGTCTTTCAACTGCCTGCTTTCACATATATTAGGTCACTAATATCTCTTTATTGTATTTCTATTGAACTATTTATATTTCTGTTATTAATCCATAAGTTCTCTTTATTTAACTGGAAGATTTAAAATTTGTTATTTATCTGCATTGCAAATTTCTTCCTTAGGTATGTGGCTTGGTTTAAGTGTATTTTGTGGTAATGTTTTTTTTATAAACCTGAGTATTACACTTGGGTTTATAGTTGAATTTGTCAATATTTTTCTTAATAGCTTTTCCTCAATAGGTCTTGTTTGTGAAACCCCTCCCTACCTCAGTGTAAAGGATTTATAGTTTTACCTTTTAAATTTGTGGCATTTATTTACCTGTACTTTATTTTTACCATTGATGGAAGCAGGAATCCAAATTTACTTTATGTCTTAGAGCCTTTTTACGAACTAGTCCATCCATTCACTGTACTATAGTAGTAATTCTGCATTAATTAGACTGCCCATTTATGTTGTTCATCATTTATGAGCTCTTTTCTCTGGTCAATTAAAAAAAAGTCTGCTGCCATGTGTAAAAATCTGCCAACTCCATATGTTAAGTCTGCTGTATTGATCCTTGAACATATATCACATATCTTAATTATTATAGAATACCAGTCAGCTCAAAACATGTTTGTGTCCTAATGAACCAAAAACTCAAAATTAAACATACTGCCACTGAGTCAATTCCAATTCAAAGCAGTCCCTATTGGGTTTCTGAGGCCATAAATCTTTAAGGAAACAGATTGCCCCATTTTTCTTCTGCCGAGTGGCAGTTGTGTCCAAACTATTCACCTTTTAATTAGTGACCATATGCCTTAACTACACCACCAGAGATCTTTGTCCTCATGAATAAGACCAAATTCACAGTTGATTGTAGCCAAAAAGATATATCATAGGTTGACTGCTTTTTTGATCATTTGCAACTTACACAACAATATTGATAAATAAAAGCAATAATTTCAACCCATAGATTATAATGTGAACAGAAGTCAATACTATAAACCTCCATGATTTGTCCATCTTTAATTAATATCACACATAATTAAAATTTTGCTGAACATAATCCAAAAATGGATGTACATTGACAGGGATTCTCCAGAAATTCAAACCAGATTCAGAAAACGACATTGAGTGTCAGATGGATCTTTACTAAAAACAAAGAATATGAGAAACATATTGACCTGTGCTTTAGTGACTTGCAAAAGCATTCAACTGTGTAGGTCATGACAAATTATGGATAACACTGTGAAGAATGGGGATTCCAGAACACTTAATAGTGATCATGAGGAACATGTACATAGACTGAGAAACTTTCATCCTAACAGAACAAGGGGATACGGTGTGGTTTCAAATCAGGAAAGGTATGCAAAGATACAACCCAGAGGTTGTATCTTTCACCATATTTACTCAGTCTGAATGCTTAGCAAATACAGAGAACATGAATTATATGAAGAAGAATGTGGCATCAGGATTGGAGGAAGACTCTCTAACAACCTGTGATATACAGATGACACAAACTTCCTTGTTGAAAGTGAAGAAGACTTGAAGCACTTGTTGAAGCAGATTAAAGACTACAGCCTTCAATA